AATAATAATAATAATGATTGATAACTAAAATGGTAACATAAGTGAAATAGTGTCACCATAAATTACAAACAGGAGAAGGCAAACCAACTGACTGTTTCGCTAATTACATAGTAAGTTATAGGTTTCACACTCAATGCTATCTCTATCCCATAGAACGCCAGTCAAATACGCTATAGTTGAGTTTTTGTGTTCGGTTGTACGAGCATATCATGTTTTATAATAAATTATAGTCCTACATCATGAAAGAAGAGCTGTGAATAGAGAGGGAATTGAGAGTCAGATAATGTGGATTTAGACCATTTCTCACATGAGTTCAGGTGTCTGTCAACTACAACAGTAACGGGCTGACTTAGTAACACACTAATTACCCTACTGATGATAGTCTTTAATATCGCTCATAGTATGACATAGTCCTTTTTAATTAGCTGAGGAAAGACTAAAGATGGGACAATGAACACCAATAGTTAAGATGCAAATGTTAACAAATTGTAAAAGTGGAGGGTAAGTGATTTCCAATTTTCTTCACTTCCTAATGTAGTAGGTTAGAGGGAACATCTTCCTAGAAGTCGACAAGATATAGGAAGATCAAGAAAAGTCAGAGGATAGAACTATTCTAAGGTATCTTATCGTTGACGTAGTTTCTATTTCTTTGCCGTCTATGCTACAAGTGTTGTGTTAATGAACAAGTTCGTGTAGATCAAGTTTATGCTTGACGGCGAAGTTAACTGTCTCACATTTAGAGGGATTTAAGGTAAAATCATTTAGCTTAGACCACTCGCTGATGTCTGACAAAAAGGTATTCAGTTTGAAACTGTCGGATAGGGACGTAACTGGCAGAGAGAGAGAGAGAGAGTCAGATAATCAGCGTATCTGACGAAGCTGATTTCTTTCGAGAGACGCAAATCATGTGAGAAGAAGGCGAAAACAAAAGGAGAGGTAGCAGCACTTTGAGGGACACCGGTTTCAATAAGCAAGGCACAGGAAGATTTGCCGTTATCTACAATGTGCTGAATTCTCCTAGAGAAATAAGCATGCAACCAGTTAACAGCCCAGGACTCAGTTTGTGTCAGAGAAAGCTTATTTAACAGAAGTCATCTGGGAACAGAGTCAGAATTGGATATGTAATCAAGGCAGGCACATCGGACATATTTGGCTCATTTGTCTAAGCAGGAAACAATACTACCATGTGGTCCTAGGACAGAGGCATTTGAGGTACTCCTGCTCCATTTATATGCAAACTGTCATTTAAACTTTTCAAGGTTGAATAAAAGTAATTTCTCTTTTAATTTCAAAAAAGGAGAGGTAATTGAAACCAATCTAAATTTAACATTCATACCAGTACATGATTTGGGAACCAGGATAATTTTAATCTTTTTCCATGCTACTGCTGCAACGTTATTACAAAAAGAAGTATTGAAAATATCTGTAAGAGAATAACATAAAATATCCGCACATCTGAGAATAACAGAAGATACAATATCAGGATCAAGGCTTTGGGGAGTTTTGAGAGTTTTGAGATATTCGAGAATACCAAGTGTGTTAAAACCATGAAAGTCACTAACCCTATGTTTTGTAGCGCCAAGAATGATAACGTCGGAGGAGAGCATCTGAAAGATTTGTTACAATAATACACTACTTGCCTCCATTGGAAATTTTATTAAAATGAGTTTTACATGATAAAAGCCTTTAGTTATAAATCCTATTTCGACTTTGGATTTCAGATTTGATTAAGATGTGAATCCTTTTGAGATCAAACTTGTCTTCAGACTTGTATGACGGTTCTTTTTCTCTGTTTAGATTTTTGGATGAGGAGAAGAGAAACTGTCAAATCTTTTGAACAGTATTTGTTTCAGGCAACAGATGTCAAGGCAGAATTTAAGTTAATCTGTTATATCGATGATTGTACCACCCAGTGTATGTTCGGTGAAAAGATCTCAGACCAAACAGTGCTTTAAGAGTAAATGGATCTTCACCACTGAGAACCATTTTGAGCTCTGTCACAAGCAGCCTCCAGCCATTGTCGCTGAGCCTCTTCAGGACCCCAGCCAGGCAGTTCATGCCTCTATGTGACTCGAACCAATAGTCAAAGACCACACAGACTGATTCCATGTTTTGATTTGACCAGCCTTCACTCTTTTAAACCCAATCCTATCTCACTTAACATTGCTCGAAGAAGAAGTAGGGGGCTTGGTATGTGCATCATGTGTCCTAGCTATCCCAATCGATATAGCTCCACAAGCTCATTCATTGACTTTTTCTTCTTACCCAACACTACGCCTAACCTCTGTGTTATTCACTATATTGTACTACTTAGTATGGAAGACAGAAAGTGAACACTTTGTGGTCAAAGATTGTTAGCCTCTTCGTATTTCCCACTTCCAATGACCAACCTCGCAGCTACAAAGAAGAATGGAGCGTTCTGCTGTTCAGTACATAGCCATTTGATCAATACCATGCCTATGTCACGTATGATGTGTAAGTTGACAAATGGCACACCAGCCTTTTGTATCTATCCTGCGATTTTGTCAGCAACCAGTACTGATTGGTGGAAAAACAACCAAAACTGCACCAAGTTTTTTTATTTGGGGTCCATTAAGCCTGATTCAGCTTCCCAAATAAGTGAAGTGGCCAAAAAGCATACTCCCTGTCTTTAAACTAGAAGACTATGCAACCCAACCCTGAGGCATAATCACACATTTGAAAGGATTGACTCATATACCAATCCTTTGCGTGACTGCTCAACGTCTATATTTCTGTTTAAACTCATCCTAAATGTTGCACGACATCAAGGAATTTTGTCAGACTCTGAGCACCCACTCTACCCGCAGCTCCAACCTTGTGTCTCCTCAGGTAAACACAAGAAGTCTTTTTAGAGGGATTTACGCACGTACGTCTAAGTATAAAAATTCCACTATACCATATTTAGCACGTACTTTATGTGATGAAAACAGTGTCAGGCATGAACTAACTAACCTTCTTCGCACCACTAAATAAACCATTTCTTCCACCCTTACAGTACCAAACTTGATTGTTATTGTATTTCTTATATTTTAAATCCTATCAACTTTTTGTTTTTATTTATTTATTTTTCATAATTGTGAACATCAACAGAACATTAGATTCAATATTCTATAGTAACATGCTGAAATTTTCAAACTGAATAGACAATACTGTTTGAAACAAACTCACTGTTATTATTATTATTATTATTACTATTACTATTGTTGTTATTATTGATATTTAATTATCTGAATTCGTGCTTAAAATATTTTTGACTTTATATCGTAAGCGTGGACAAATTCCTCTGGTTAATTTTGTTTTAATTTTTAATTTTACTTATATTTTGAGTAAATCAGATGCAATATTGTGACAAATGCTGAGAATTCCATTCTGTATTATAAGTACTGTATTGGAATAAAGTAAAATAAATTATTAAAAAAATTATTAATTATTATTACTCGCTATCGATGTCTGCTGTATTTCGGAGAGCTGCATTCAAGATCCCAGTGAAGTGCTTCGATTATCCACTCCATCTGAAAGTTCTAGTAGTATGTACCACCTGCGCTTATCCGAGGACCCTGTGGTGTCGGCATCCGGAGTAGCTGGTGTCGGTGTCGCACTGAGCGCTAGAGTTGCTGTCCGTCGGTGGCACAGTGGTTAGGAATCTCGCCAACCATGGACATGGTCCGAGGTTCGATACCGTGCCGACGCACATCTGATATCTATGGTCGGCCTGCAAAATTTGGCCTACCAATATCCATGCTGAAAATTCCATACTTGTACCAAAACTGCAGTGTGGAATCAAGCTGTAAATCAAAAATATAAAAAATATATAAAATATAACCTTGTTTCTATATTAGATCATTCTTTTATTACCTGATCAATTGTCTAAACTTGACAAACCCCATGTACACACGCACACACACACACACATAAATAATTATGTATATGCGATTGTACAGCTATGTGAATGAATTCACCGAAAAAAGTCTTTTCCCTGAACATCTTCTCTTTTTCATATAAATTACAGTCGTTTGTTTAGAATTTGTATCGCAAGCTTTGGTGACCCACGATCGTCTCCATATAGCAGATCGTGTTTGATCTCTATGTGGTCAGATATATTTCCTGCGTTGAGTCAGTTTTCTGTTATAATGAGGAGATTGTCACTTTACATAGTCTCAAGCAGAGATCATATTCATGGGCAAGAAATGCTCGGAATATGGACTCAGAAGACTAGCTGATTAAATACTGCAACTTTAATTGGTCCTTGTAAAGCCTGAATTTTTTATTAGACTTCTTTAAAACCCAGTCGCCACTCACCAGATATCGTGGTGAATAAATTATTTCGAGAAAGATCTTCACGCGGAGTATTCTTGGTTATCGAGGTAAACACAGGTATATGCCTCTGTTCATTTTGATGTAGCCAATCCGACAAACCAAAATGTGTTTCAAATGCAGTAACAGATTGGTGTAGGTTCTCAAGTTTTCTGAATCTCATTCTCCTGGAAGTATTCATGTGAACCACTCATGTAGTAGAAACGTTCAATGGTAGTTCTTTGGTCTCTGAAACAAAAGGTTCTATTTATGAAGCGTGGAAGTGATATGAAGACAGAATATATAGAACACAGATTGTGTAAGCAATTTGTGCTGACAGACAAACTTCACTAGGTGTTTGTAAATTATCTCGTTCAGGTATAAAATAGTTTAAGCTGTAAACGCAATAGGTACTTAAGTCTGAGGTTAGTAGTCAAACATTCCTAATGTTAGACATTATGATTTGATATGTAACAATAGAAATGTAGTAGATTTTGGGGACACGTGAGTGCGAAATCTGCTTTGTATTAATAGCGTAGCTTTTCTCTTCTTGCAGAATAACTGTACTGGTCGGGTAAAAGTCACTGAAGTGTAGAGAAAATTCCTCAATCATGGCGGTGGGTTAAAAGAGTATCGTTGATATTTGAGAATTTTAATGCACCTAACCTTTTGCGTTTGCTACAAATATGCTAATGGTTCATCGTATTTTTCCTTATTTTCTGAAACAGATTTCATGTCAAAGCGATCCTGTTGCAATAAAACCGGAGTTCTGTGCTTACTTACTTGTGATGCACTCACATAAAGAAGCAGATAGACTTTTTCAGGCTCTTGGTTCACGTATAACCACTTTTAATAGTCGTTTGAACTCAGAGCTTACTGGTCTTCAGGAAACTAATAGTGCGTCGAACAGTCCTGGGGATTTTCCTGTCGTCCATTCCCGTAAGAATGCTAACCCAGAAGAGGGTGATGATTCTCCTTTTATCGGTAAAGGTGACGAAGGAACACAAAGTGAGTTCTTTTCTCATATGTTGAAATTTTGTTTTAAAACAAATTTTCGGATACACACGTTGTGGTAGTTCCTAGTGTTGCTCCGTAAACAAACAATTTGTCAATCTCCTGATACGAAGACGACATTTGACCTTGGGGATCATGGGTTTTTCCAACAATATGTAGCTGTGAAAGTAGTACCGAGAAAGTATATTATACTAATTGAGGCACTGCTCGAACTAATACAAACCTAAAGGTCTCATGTTGAGCTTTTTGCTGAAGTAGTGACAACCAGTTGTTTTCGTCAGTGCTGCGCACTATCAACATTGTTATTTAATTTGATTATCAATCCACTGATTGGTGTGACAGTGGAGCTGTATCAGGGAGCTGTTACATATCACAGAAAGCTTTCGTTGAGTTAGAGTGTGCCGATGATATAGTCCTAGATGAAAACTGACGAAAATGTAGTCTTCTTAACGCCGTATGCAAATCTTTGGTAGAAAATCTAATTAATTTCGGTAGGGAGTCCGTCCTTAGTGAATTTAAGATGATGAGGATGATGATGCGCAGCTGGTCTGCAGCGACTCTTAATTTAGCTATTGGGAGTAATTTCATACGTTGTTTCCCTTAATGAATTTGAACAAACCAAGAACTACAGTTTTAGCGGATTTGTGACTTCAGATCTTCCATATATGTTGTTGAACCTTTGAGGGTACCCATTGCTCTTCAGTATCTTTTCAAGAAACTCAAATTCTTCCTCTAATTTCTCCATAGTGCATATTCTCCTCGCTCTATAGTATAGAGTCTTGACTAGTTCGCGTTTAAAGATATTTGGACAAAAGCTGTAGTTTTCGCTTTGTTCAAATATTGGGAGTAAAATGGTTGAATGTGTTGGCGATTTAATTTATTTGGTGAATTCCACCAGTCGTGATGATCTGATTGACGATTAAATTCCAGTATGTGTAGAAAGTGCTAACTTAGCATTTGGCGACTCGCTTCATTCTGGCTGCTGTCCTGATATCTGACTATCAGTGAAAAAATGCGTATACTGTGTGACAGTTCTCTCCGTCATTCTTTATCATGATAAAGTTGTTGGAGGGTGGAGGTGTGAAAAGAATATGAACTTTTAATCATAATATATACAGTAAATATTACTGTATTAGGGATTAGCTTGACTAATATGGCATCTAAAGGTCTAGGCTGAGTTGATTGAGTGGAGCTCGAGAGGAACAAACGCGATGAAACCAAGTAGGCTTCAGACTAGGTACAGTGGGTACTGATCATATCATCACCCTTTGACAGATTCTGGAACACAGTCATACATACCAGCGTCCAAATGCCACATATCTTGACGCGAAGGCGGAATTCGACTCCACGGGCCTAGAGTTATTATGGTAGTGTTTGGTGGTAAGTGGAGTGTCGAGAAAGCACATTGTACTAATCAAGGAACTCTACTCGAACTCGTACAGCCGTCTAAAAGCTTACGGAGAGTTGTCATCTGAAGTGATAACATCCAAGGGTGTCTGTCAAGAATGCCTACTGTCTCCATTTCTGTTAAATTTTATCATAGTTGTACTCATGGGATTAACCGTAATTGACTTCGGCCACTTATGGATTGACTTGTACGATGGTTGCAGTAAAATGTTGACTTAGTTTTCGGTTGCGTATCGTTCATCACCTAGTTGAGCTGAGCTAGTAGTTGAGAAGCTTATAATGCGAATCCTGTGAGCACCCTAATTTGCACACCATAGTAGTCTACGAACCTAAAATCATCCCATATATTCTCACCACCAGATAAATGTGACCAAAGTTTGAGTGTTTAGCATTCAATTAACAAGTTTACGATTTTCTTTTTAAATACTTATTTTCATCTGTCTTTTTTCCAACATTTCACTCTTTTAGGCACTAAATCAGAAACTGACGACTTGCCCACAAATGTAGACAGTGAGTCTTCGATTCCTACACCATCCACAGATTAAGGGTGATCTACTCAAACGTACGAGATTCCCTACAAGTGTATTTTATAAACATTTTCCTCACAAATCATCTTGTGTCTTCTGATGTTATTATCTGTATGTCATCTTTATAGATATTTACAAATATACGTGGTTTATCTCCATTTTGATTGAATTTTACTCACACTCACACTCGTATTAAGCCAGGATATTATGTATTCATACAATTTATATGGCCCAAGTATGTTATGAATTGACAAAATAAAGCGACGCTGTTCTTGTTCAAATTGTTATATATTCATTACTCAAGCTTCTGTTTGGCCATCACTATTCTTTTCGACTGAAGTTTTTTTAACTGACATTGTATATAAGTTTTCAGTTGCTATACCTTTTCATTAGTTGTAACTTAAAAACGAATGGATGAAAACAGGCAAACAGAAGACTGGTTTTTTCATTTATTGGTTTTACTATGTGTCTATATGTCAGCGTTAAGTCATTTCCGAATAAATGACCGAGCATTAACGGCATTGTTTTTTCTGGCCATAAAAAGCAGGTTACATTTTTTGTTTGAGACTTATAAGTGAAATCTACTAGAACCCAGGTAGGTGCACTCCAATGCGCTACACCATATCACTAGGTTAAGCTCTAAGGCGTAAGATTTGTTATTAGGATAATTAATTCATTTTAACGCACCATTTCTCATTTAGCCTGGTCGTTGACCAATTTTTAAGAAATACAATTCTTATCTTACCGTTGTTTGTGGCCACAGAATGAAGTGAAGATGACTCACTAGGCTGAAGAATAGTACTAACTGTAGTAGAGAAACAAGATGAGGAAGGTGATGTGAGTAAAGGAGAATGATGCTCAGGAAGGCTTCGTGTGCTTTTGGAAGTGTGTGGGTGGTGGTTGCTTCCCGGCTGCCCACACCGTGGGAGTTGATTGATTCTTCGGGTACCTGAAACAGAAAGAAGGTTAGTGTTGTGTGACCGCAGGGTCCGGGGTGTGGTGGACCTTTTTACTCTATTAGCTTAGTTACCCAAATTCAAGTAGAAAATAAAATACCAAATGAGTTTAGTTACGGGAAGAATGTATTAAAGTTTGATTACTTGAGTTTACAAAGGTCCACAGTCCACAATAAACGTAATAGACTCCAGGTGCTGCGGAAAGACTGCTCCAGTAGTAATTCTCCAATGTTAACGTTGCCGGAGGTCGACCAAAGTACGTAGGAAGAAACTACGGTGCTCCTTTGTTTTATGTGGTGCATCATCATCGGAAACGCAGGGCCATTTCAAAGTGTCCTCAAAAATCAACTTATCCAAAATTTTACTACTATGTAAATAATGAACATATTGTCCACCACAATAATTGGTGAGCCCGTTTCGAACCCTTTTTTATGGTTAACCCGTTTTCGAACCTTTTTGTTTCGATAGTTACCTCGTTTTGAACATTTTTGTTGCTATTTTGTCCTTATAAACTCGCACTGCTTTAATTTTTGTTACCACAAGTTTTTCTATTTTGTATATCTATATACTTACATATTATATGACAATGGCTCCACCTAAACGTACCACTGTTGCTGAAGAAGGTAATAAAGGCGAAGAGACACAGAACTCTGCTGTTAACGCCTTGCCGGATTTAAGACTACCTCAATTTGATCTGGCTGAACCACGTGTCTGGTTCACAATTATTGAACAGTTGTTTGCAGCTCGAGGTATTACGTCGCAGATCGCCATGTATGGTTGCGTATTAGCAGCAATTCCCACGGAAGTACTACGAGAGGTTATCGATGTCATAGACAGCAAACCTACAGACTCTCAATATGACAAACTAAAAGCTGCACTCATCCAGCGGACCACTCTCTCCGATGAGAAACGCATACAACAACTACTTACTTCGTGTGATCTAGGTACAAAAAAGCCATCTCAACTACTTAGACATATGCGCCAGTTGATTGGGTCACACAAAGTAGATGAGTTAATTCTACGTCAGATGTTCTTACAACGTTTACCACAAAATGTTCAACAAATCCTAACAATATCTTCTAGGACGACAGACCTTGAAGAATTAGCTAAAATGGCAGACGATATCATGGATGTGTTATCAAATAATGGCATAAATAGCGTGTCTACCGAGGCAGTACCACCAAGCCCTTCCACATCTATGAAGGACGCACCAATGTTTTGGTTACTTTCCCAGTTAACATCTCAAATGCAAGATTTACGACTGGAAGTGTCCGAGCTTCGAGCACAAAGGAACCAGTCACATACGGTATCCAAGCAACGGCGATCAAGATCTAGACGACGTTCTAGAACACCGTCTCAAAGCCGTAACATTTGTTGGTATCATAGGAGGTATGGGCATAATGCCCTGAAGTGTATTCGACCGTGTATGTACAACAGTAGTAACTCATCTCAGGGAAACTCCCCAGCCAGACAGTAATGGCGACGGCTGTTAATGGCAATCACCCCAGTCGCCTTTTCTATGTGAGGGATTTGACTACCGGCACATTATTCCTGGTAGATACAGGCGCCGAGGTCAGTGTTATTCCCCCCTCACTATCCAGGCGATCAGCCAAAATACCTGGAAAACTTTCACTTCGTGCTGCCAACCAAACCAACATACAGACGTATGGCGAACAGTCAATGATTTTAAATTTAGGACTACGCCGACGTTTCACATGGATCTTCATAGTAGCTGACGTACGTCACGCTATACTAGGTGCAGACTTCCTAAGTCACTTCAATCTGTTAGTTGATATCAGCAAGAAAAAACTGGTTGACAATTGCACCCAACTCAAGATCCATGGTATTACATGTGACTACTCGGTTCATAGCATCTGTATAGAAAAGCCGGAGAGTGAAATGTTCTCTGCTTTATTGAAACGATTTCCTAAAATCCTTAAACCATCATACAACGTTGAAGATATATCTCATACAGTTACGCATAAGATCATCACAACAGGACAACCTGTGAAGGCACGTCCACGACGGTTACCACCCGATAAACTAGCAGCAGCTAAGTCGGAATTCGAACATATGATGCAGCTAGGTATCATACGACCATCTAACAGCCCATGGTCTTCACCTCTGCACATGGTACCTAAAACTAATCATGACTGGCGACCATGTGGAGATTATCGCGCTTTGAATAACGCTACGGTCCCAGATCGTTATCCTATACCTCATCTCCACGACTTCTCCTTGAACTTACATGGAAAGACCGTTTTTACCAAAGTTGACTTGGTCAGGGCATATCATCAAATACCAGTCGCTCCAGAAGACATTGCAAAAACAGCAATTATTACGCCTTTTGGATTATTCGAATTCTTGAGAATGCCTTTCGGACTAAAGAATGCTGCTCAAACATTTCAGCGTTTTATGGACCAAGTTACCCAAGGTCTTGATTTCGTCTTTGTATATATCGACGATGTCTTAATTGCCAGCTCATCGATGGAAGAACATATGCAACACTTAAGCCTGTTATTTCAAAGGTTTGAACAATTTGGAGTTGTTATCAATCCAAAGAAATGTATTTTTGGTTCCCCTTCCATTGAATTCTTAGGACATCGAATAACTGCTGAAGGCATCAGACCTACCGAAGATAAGATAGAAACTATTAAGAACTTTCCCGAACCTGATTCCTTAAAGAAACTTAGACGTTTTCTCGGGATGTTCAACTTCTACCGACGTTTTATTCCATCATGTGCCTCCATAGTTCAGCCACTGACCGACCTACTTAGATGCAATTCGAAGAAATTTCAGTGGTCTGAAGAAGCAAAAGCAGCATTTAATAATGCAAAAGATGCCTTATCCAACGTTGTAATGTTATCTCATATCAACCCAGAAGCTTCACTCATTTTATGTACAGATGCATCGCAGGTAGCAGTGGGAGCAGTTTTACAACAAAAGTTCAATAATGACATCACTCCACTTGCTTTCTTCTCCAAAAGTTGGAACCTGCGCAAACTCGTTACAGTACCTTTGGCAGAGAACTGTTAGCCATCTACCTAGCAGTGAAACATTTCAGCTTCTTACTACAAGGTCGACATTTTACTATCTTAACCGACCATAAGCCTCTTTGTTATGCTTTCACCACTTCGTTGGACAGACACTCTCCGAGAGAAGCCAGACAACTGGATTACATCTCACAATTCTCAACAGACATCCAGTTCATCAAAGGAGATTCTAATATCGTAGCCGATTCTTTGTCTCGATGTGACGTTAATCACCTATCTTCGATAGATATTAGCTTAGACAATATTGCCAAGCTGCAGAAAAATGACGCCGAACTCCATACTTGTAGACGAAACTCCTCCCTACAGTTGCAGGATGTACCTATTCCCCTGTCTGATACAACTATCGTCTGCGACGTTTCAACGGGAGTTCATAGACCTTTTGTTCCACTAAGTTGTCGAAAACCTTTGTTTGAACATCTACATTCATTGTCTCATCCTGGAGTGCGTGCTACAGTCAAGTTGATCAGCGAGCGTTTTGTTTGGCCCAAGATGAACTCCGATATTCGGAAATGGGCCCGCCAATGCTTGCAATGTCAAAGATCCAAGGTACATCATCACACCGTCACACCTCCAAAACAGTTCAATTTACCCGATAAACGATTTCAACACGTTCATATAGATGTTGTTGGACCATTACCGCCATCCAGAGGATTTACTCATATACTTACTGCGATTGATCGATTTACCCGATGGGCTATTGCTTGTCCACTCAACGATATATCTGCAGAAAATATCGCTTTGGTTTTCTTAGATCGCTGGGTGTCAAACTATGGAGTACCCACAACTATTACAACAGACCGAGGAGCTCAATTTCAATCAACTCTGTTTCGAGAGTTTACGAGACTCCTTGGAGTGAACCATATCTCCACTACAGCTTATCATCCTGCAGCGAATGGTCTGGTGGAACGTTTCCATCGACAACTGAAAAGCTCGCTTATGGCACAAGCTGACTCATCTAAGTGGAGTGAACACCTACCATTAGTTCTTCTCAGTATCCGATCAACTGTAA